TAATTTTCAGCAACTGGCAGCCTTTAATTAAACCAGATCGGACAGCTGGGGCATATGCATCGCATATATACATTTATATAGTTTGTGCGATTTGTAATTGTTGTAATTACAAAACTACACATGAAATTTGCATATTATTAAGCGAGCTGCGTTCTTGTTGTTGTCTGTTGCCTGGAGATGTGCAAATACATCAAGTCGGAGTCGTCTGCCTCTTCTGCTGCTTCTGCTTCTTCTTCTCTCCGGTTGCACGCCATAAATTGCTGTTGCAATTGCAATTGTCGCTCGGCTCTGCTCTTTGCTGGCGTTGTCAACACTTGAACACGCGCCAGCGACAGTCGAAAGGCAAAAAAAAACCCAGCCCAAAAATTATGCAACAGATTCTGAAAATTTGGCGCAAGAGATGCAGCAGCAGCAGCAGCAACAACAAGCAGCAGCCAGTTTATTTTTGTGCAATTACACAATGAGATAAGCAAAGCAAAAAAAAAACATATAAAAAGAATTTAGTTGCAAGTGATGGACCTGTAGATACCCTCGAATCAGAAAATGTTGCTGGAGTACTTTTATTGCTCTTATATCTCTATATCTATACAGAGAACGGTTTGTTTTCACTGACTGACGAACTTATATTTAAACTTTTTTATTTTTATTTATTAATCGCCAATCAGGGCGTAGAATGTTCTATAATGCGCTTAGTATCTATAGACTTTAACTAAGACGGCGTTTTGGCTAATATCACATGCAGCATGGGGGAAATGCGCGGAAAATAGTCGAAATCGAAACTTTTTTGTTGATCATTCGATCAGGCTCAAGTTTCATTCGTAAAGATCTTTGTGAATCTTTGATGTGAGTCGTATTTCATCCGCTCTTAGCTGGAAAATGGTTTCTTTCGATGCACTTCAAACTTGGCTTAAAGCGCAGTTACCTTAGAGAAAGGAAATCATGCATTGTTGTACTATTATAAATTCTACTTTTTAAGATATTCACATTTATCTGTTACATATAAGCACAAAATTGTGCTAAGCCGCTTCTTACGCCTGTTTTTACAGGGTATAATAACAAGAACGTTGTTGCCAGCGTCTGACATCGCTAGCGTCTGCTGCTGCTGCTGCTTCAGCTGCGACTGTCAACTGTCAGGCATTTTTTACTGCTGCTGCTGTTTTTGTTGTTGTTGTTGCTGTTTCACGCCATTATATTCGCAATATGATTATTATGCGAATGCAAAAGTGTTGACGTTGTCACGTTTGGGCCGCCTGGCTGCCTGGCTGCCTGTCAAGTGCGCGTACGAAAATGGCATTGACACAAGTGCCACATGCAGCGGCAAGTGGCAAGTAGCAGCAATTGCAACATGCAACTGCAGCATAGCCGACTAATTGGCTCATTTCTTTTTGGCCAACTTTCAATACACACACACACACACACACACATACACACCCACACACATACACACCCACACACACACACCCCCACACACATACATGTATAAATGACTGCTGCGGCCTCAAACGGTCAGGCGGGAGCATTTGATGTGACCCTCATCAAAAGCGATTTAAGTGCGAGAGTCCGGCAAAAGTTTTACTCTGCCCTTGGCAAATGTGCAAATAACAAATGATTTTGGATTTACCAGCACACACTTGTAAATAAAAGTGGACTCTGTCTCTCTCTCTCTGTATAAGTGTGTGTGTGTGTGTGTGTGTGTAATTATGTGCGTCATATACCAGCATGTTTGCCTTTGTTTTTGCCTGTCATGGCCGTTTTATGCCCCTTGGTCAAATCAAACGTAAGCCACAATTAAAACATAAAACAACAAAGAGAGAGACTGTAGTCGGGTATGTACGACTGGGAGATACCCTAAACTTAGCGAACAGCTATCGTTTTAAATGTTTCAGTTTCCTTATTTAAGAAGAAGGAAATTTAAGAAGAAAGTTTAAGGACTTAAATATGGTATTCAAAAGTGTAAATATTTCAAATCGGAAGGCTCTTCATTTTAAAATAGAATTTTACCAATTTTTGAAAGGCAATTGTAGGAAATAAACGAAAACTCTGAATGTTCTTAAACTATACCAATTCCTACATACTATATTTTATATGTCTAAGTCTTATAGCTTATGCTCAAAACATTAACTCCGAAATTCGATAGTTATCGATATGATGAAAATGTTTAGATGGCCTCAGCTGGTCGTTCTGATCAAGAATATAAATACTTTCTGGTATCGTAGGCGCCTCCTGCTGCTTGTGACATACCTTGTAAAGAAACAGTATACCTCTTTTATTCATTTTCAATGGGATCAGGGTATAAAACTACCAAGCATTCGACTGACTGGCGTGTGGTAGTATATGTATAGGTGTGTCCATGTGTATACATCAAACATTTTTTTTGTTGGTATTGTTTTTTGGTATCCTGTCGTTTGTTAAAGTAACAAGGGCCCATAATTAGTTCGAATTAGTTGCATCTGAGGTCTGCTTTTGGCAGCTGTGTCCAGATGTGGGGCTAGCTTCGCTTTTAAAACAAAGACCAAGTCGCCACTCGTTCTCTAGAGATTTTCAAGTATTCACTCAGACAAAACCGCCAACCAGCACCCACTTTAGACGCAGCGTAAGGGTCTATTTGACCCAAACCGCCGCCTGAGTGGCCAGCGGAGCGATGTTGACGTTGACGTTGTCATAAATCCGCGCCCGTGCTCGTTCTCGCTCTGTTGAGGCTGTCAGTAATTAGCGCGCTCACTCAGCGCTGAACACTCCTCAATCCCTTGCCCAAAGACCCTCAAACCCCGTTCCCGGTCCGTAAAGCTAACGAGTCACTTGTAAGAAAGCCAGCGCATCAATGGACCAGATAGCTGTGAGCACTGATGCAGTGCTGCCCGCATTTGAAAGGCACTTAAAGCTAGTTTTGGGATTGGCTTCTAAAGCCCAGGAAAGTAGCTAAATTTTAGTTAACGTAAAAGACTGCCAGAATGCGTGAAAAATCTTTGTTTCAATTATTTGATTAATATGCGAATTTATGGAATTTCAGTTAGCTCAATATTTGACAATAATAAGGCTGTCGCTATATCTTTCTATATACTCTTATCTGGTCTTTGGTTATATAGTAGAATATATATATGTATGTTCAATATATATTATATAATTTCAACTATTTATATATAAAAGCGTGTTCAAATCTGGTCTCAAAGTTGCTTTTAATCATATCGATAATTATCGATAGACACTATTGTGAGATGTCTTTTTAAATCTAACGCATTTGCTTTCTACTTCCTTTTTAAGATCATTTTAAACAATTTGGGTCAGCTCAAAGGCCTCAATACTTAATTCTAGTCGTCCTCTTCGGTTTTTAAAACAATACAATAATCGAAAATACGTGTGTAATGACAACTTTAACATGACGAAAGCGTTTCTAGTTTACTTTTCAAACATCGATAATTATCGTTAAATCGAAAAATGTGCTTTTATTTTAAAACAATGCCAAGTTACTTTACTCCTCGAACGCATCGAATAATATCGAAATCTCTAAGAAAATGTTTACTACGATAAAAATCGATCGTTGACTATCGATAAATTTCAGAAAAATCTCCAAATTTAAGCTGCCATAAAAGGAGGCTAAATTGCCAGCACTATTTGGCTGGAACTGTGCCTGCAACAGACAGACGTCTGCAATTAGTGTGCAGCACTCGGGCAGGCAACTAGCGAGCACATTTAGTGGCCAATGCTGCTTCAACTTCAGCTGCCGCTTCTGCTGCTGCTGCTGCTACTGCAACAAAGTGGTTGCCACGCGAGGCGCCTTCAAAGCAGAGATGATGTGGCATAGTGTGCCATGACACCGTTTCAGCGCGCGCAAACGGAGCATGAGCTCGGTTATGACTGACTGACTGACTGACTTCTTGACTGACTGACTGACTGACTGACTGGCTCGCTGGCTGTCCGGCTGACTGACTGATACATTCATTTATACGGCACGGAGCTGCTCTTGTGCACGTAGCCAGTGGCAGCCGCAGCAGCAACAAACAAGCCGCCACTTGACTTGCCAAACCAATTGGCGCTGCCGGCAACTGCAGACGCGCTGCCTTTGCATGTCAAAAGTCATCACCTTTATCGTTTTGCAGCATCTCGTGGCCCCTCGAAAGCCTGCCGTTAGCCGCAGTTGGCAAGCCAGCAGTAGCAACAGCAGCAGCAGCCATTTAGCCGGCTGCATTAGCTGTGGCAATATTATGACTGCAAGACCAGAGCTGGTGGGATTTTTGGTCCTGGCAGCCAGTTGTCCTGGCAGTCAAGTATATTGTAATTCATAATCCTGCGATTTAGCTGGCATAAGACACAAAACGCTTTATTTCTTGTTGTGGTTGAGGCTGAGGCTTAAGTCTCTCGAATGCTCCAGCGCCAGCTGCAACAACGTCTTCGTCTTCGCCTTCGACTTCGACTCTCGGTCCAAAAAATTTTGACACTGATTGTGTTTGTACTTGGGTGGATCCTTGGCTGGGTAGCTGGTTAGTTGGACGGGCGTTGGGTGGCATTTTAAGCCGTTAAGCACTGAAAATATTTCCATTGCCTTGGGTATAGTTGACGCGCTGCCTGGGTAAGTGGTGCTTTGGGCAAAGTGGTCACAATTATGGGTTCAATGTTTCCACTTGGATGGGAGGGCGTGGGGCGCTTCATCGGGCATATCATGGACCAAGCGCTGCTTATCGCTTAACCAAACAGCTTTAAGCAGTGCAAGTTATTGAAAATGCGACAGTTTTGTTGTTTATGTTTTTCAAATAGGTTTTTCTCTTTAATTATATATGTATGCTTCATCTTGTTCCTTGTCCCCATATACATACTTACTTTCCTTGGACATTTGTATTTTGTTTTTACATTCATATTCTGTATTCGCTTAACTAAAATGTACACATAACGCAAAAAACGAATTGCGAGCCGCTCGGCTCGTCCAGAAGCCACCACAATGTTTAGGCATAGTCCATATACAGTCATACATATACATACATATATATATAGTCGATAATCGTAATAATATATATGATTTTGAGTTTGTTTTCATATTTTGTTTTGCGTATTTACAATAATTTACATTCATATTAAGCACATACATTTGACAAAAGGTCGATATCTCTTGTTATCGATATCATGCTGTTATCGATCTAACTATATTTTGTAATCGATACTATTTTGATATATCGATATATCGACATTAAACGATCAATGTATTTGTTTTTTGTTTTTTTTTCGATACGCTTTTTATCGGCCTATCGATATTTCGATAGACTTGCTTTGATAGTTTGCTACGGTTATATTCACTGTACAGCACCTGCTTTCCGGTTACCGGCTTTCGATATACGAATTTTCGAATTTTACTTAACATTTAGGTAGTTTAATTATTGTTCTCTCTGTATCGACTGCTGCATACCCTCATTATTTTTTTGCTGCTCTAGTTCATCGAACGACTTAAATTCTCTTTTGCAATTTTTTGTTTTTGACTTTCTTTGGTCGCCTCTCTTGGGTTATTTACATGCTGATCCTTCTGCTGCTGCTAAATGATATACATAATTTATAATATATATGTATCCAAGTCCTTCGTATAAATTCTGTAGAGTTATCTAACGGCTGTAGCCGGCCTGCTGCGCATATATAAAAATAACTGTTTATCATCTATCATCTGTCGCTATCTCTGTCTGGCAACCACTAAACATTCGTTACGCCCAACTTGGCCAGATTCCCGAGCGTTATGGCATCTCCCGGCTGCAATCGCAACGCCGCCTTATAACTAGCCGCCGCATGATTTGTCCGTCCCAGCAGATGTAATATCGCACCCAGATTCGTGTGAGCGTGTGCATCATCCGGACGCAGGGCGACAGCCTGAAGCGTGAAGTCAAGAAAATACGAGTTCTATTAAAACCAGTTCAGGTTCATAGTACAGATCCTTGCTCACCTTGCGATACCACAGCTCCGCCTCGACTTTGCGATCGAGCAGGCGGAGTGAGGTGGCCGCTGCCACCACCAGAGCATAGTCCGCGGGCGCCAGCTCTGCGGCGCGTCGATGATAGACGGCGGACTCGTGATGTCGTGACTGCAGCGCCAGAAATTCAGCTAAGGTGGCAAGAAAAACAAAAACCAAATATAAGCCATAAGAAGATAAGGAACCGTGCCGAACTACCCACCATAATGGTGATACACGCTGGCCTGTTCCGGTGCCAGTTTCAGCGCGCGCTTGAACCACATCTCCGCCTCCGAGGCCCGACTGCTCTACAGAGAGAGAAGAAAGCTCGTCAGTCAGCTGAATAAATAAATACCATCAACTGCTAAGCAGACTTTTTACCTACATTTCTGGCCAGCGTTATGCCGTAGCTGATATGAGCCGCCACCTGATTGGGCTGCAGCTCCAGCGCGGCGCGATGATGCCGTTCCGCCTCGTCCCATTGCTGTAGTCGGCCAAAGACATCGCCGATGCGCTGATACAGCACCTCGCGTTGTTGCAGCAGCGTTGGCAGCGAGGACAGTGCCTCTCGGTAGACGGCCAGCGCGCGCTGTAGCTTGCCCTGCTCCACGTAAAGTGCGCCCAACTGCAGATACGCTGAGCTTCTGGCCTGATCGTGTGCGCTACGATCGCGCACCGTTGCACCCTCCAGCGTGGCGCCCACTTGCAGTATCTCGATGGCTTGCTGACGCTTGCCCAGCGCAATGAATGATATGCCCAGATTGAGGTAGGCCACTGTGGGAAAAGAGTTGTTAATGCATAACTGTAAAGAAGTTCGACTAAATTCGTAAAATATACAGAATAGTTTGTTTGGTGTGAGTAAAGTCGTTTGAATACTTGTGAGTATATTTATAAAAAAGTTCGAGTACTAAGAGTAGTTCGTATACATTTATGGGGAGCTATATAGCTACGCATAGCATAGTTCGAAAGGAGGGAGTTTGTGTATTTAGTATATATAGTACTTAGAGAATATCTACAAACTTAATTTAATTTTTATTATTATACTTGAAAAAGCTTGAGTATTTGGAGAGTATTTGTGCAGTATCTTGGATATCTAAAGTATATGTGTTGAATAGTTTGAGTATATCTATTAGTCTTTGTATAACTAGTATATGTGCTTAAAGTAGTTTGAGTACTTAAAGTGTATCTATGCGGGATTTCGGTTTTTAAAGGTATATGTGTCAAATAATTTAACACTCACATTCTCTAGGGAGAACACTTTAAATAAATCGCGAAGTCTGTCTATAAATTATCTTAGTACTTGGAGTGTCGAGTAGTCTACTTTGAGTATTTAGAGTACATAGATAGAGTAGTTTAGCTATTTAAAGATTATGTATAGTTTATTTATGCTACTGTGGCAAATGGAAGTTATTTAAGTTTATGAGTAAACTAGTTTATTTATTTAAAGTTATAAAATAGTTCTTGCACTCACCTGCCAGGCTTGGCCGAAATTTGATGGCGCGCTGAAAGCACTCAACGGCAGACTTGTAGTCCTGTTGATTCTGATGCAGTATGCCCCTGCAAGTGAATGAAAGAGAAAACGCATAAGAAAAGGAAAACGAAAGCGAAAGCGTTGCCATTACATAATTGACGGCTGCTGAACTTGTCGCGTACTTCTGCCCCTCACTCGAGATCTAATTAGAGCGCCCTGCGGCAGGCGGCTGCCACTTGATGGCGCCTAGAAATCTGTCAAGTATTTGACAGTCAACGCGTCAAGTGAAAGGCGCAACGAGTGCTAAGGGCGATGTGGGCCAGCCTGAGCCATACTTAAGAATGCTCAGATTTATCTAATTAGTTGGCCCAACAAATGCAGTTGCTTTTTTAAGCAGGCGGCTTTGCTGCTTTCTGAGACATTAAAAAACAAATTAATATAAATAAATGCAATAATGTTGCAAGAGAAGGCAACTAGGAGCTGTTCATCGCTGCGTCTGGCTGAAGTATTTCTTTTTTTCTGACCAATCATTTTTATGGCCCCTCTATAACATACTGACCTTAGCTATACATCTCATCAGTAAGAATTTAATTCCCACACACGGCCATAATAATCGAGTTACTGCTCAGGTATATGTACACACCTTTGCTCACCTCGCGAAATGATAAATTTCGCATTCCAATTCTAATACACTCGGCAAGTGTATAAGAAATCAAATTACACGATTCGATGATTTCAGGTATCGCTGTTTGTTGTTTGGTTGCGTAGCGCGCTCTACACGGGATGCCATTGAGTCCCTGTGTCCCGACATAAATATATATATATATATATATATACAAATATGTATAGCTCCCAACTTCAACACTCCTACCACGCCTTATGCTCAGCAAATACAGGTAATATAAAGAATTTCGCGTGGTTTTTTCTCGCAACAGCTGCAAACATCTGTCTGAATAGATGGATGGGGCTGTCCTTGTATGCTACCAGAGCAGCTCCATGACAGAGTACAGGATATTGAAGGGGTGAGGGGTGGGTCGGGGGGGGGGGGGGGGGGGGGGGGGGGGGTTCGGTAATCAGTCAAGCAAACGTATACGAATGCCGCTAGCATTTGCTATTGATGGCTTGATCGCAGTAAATAATATAGTATGTGCAAACAGCTGTTTATCCTTTGAGCGCGAAACAGGAAATAGCATCTACAACTCCTACCCGCACTTCTACACACACACACACACACACACACAGTCTCCCCCGGGGACAGCCTTGTGCTGCTGACAACATTGATTTTCGATTAGCGTGGGGCAAACATGTCACGCGGTTGCTTCCTGCGTGCCGTTTGTGGCTTGTTTCCCCTGTTTCCCCTCTTGTTGTTGTTGTTGTTCTTTAATGTTCTTGGACATTGAAGGTTTCGGCGCCCGGGGCTAATTCACGTATTCTTTGTTCAGCGGGACAGCCAGGATATGACAGCAGCCGATTCAATGTGACCCGATTCTGAACCATTGACTTTTGAGTACTTTGACATTAAACAGCGCAGTCCGCTGTTCAAAGTGGAGAGGGGCGAGCGGCTTAGCCGACCAAAATCGCATGCAATAATCTGGCATGCAACAAGGCTCCGGCAGCACCGCTTGCGGCACTCGACAGGAGTTGCAGGCGGCAAATAAAAAAAAAAAGGTAAAAAAACAAAAAACACAGCGAGCATACAAAATGACGCACTGAATATTCAAAGCACAACTCCGCGTGCAGTTTTTATACGCTCTCCCACTTTCAATACCCTGTAAGGCGGAAATGAGCGTGAGGGAATATACCCCTTTTGTTGCTGTCTATGACATGCTGTCTAAAACATGCTAATTTGGCATGACTCACGACAATGGGCAAAATATAAATATGTGGATAATTATGAATGCATTAATATATATACATTTGTGAACCTCTTCAGATATAAAACCTAGATATAAGCAGAACCATTGCCGCAGAGCTTTGTATTTTTCAATGCTGATCTTGACTGGTTTATTTATTAAAGTGTATTCCATTCTTTCCCTAAATTTAAAGATGACTTAGAGCAATATGAAATGATTTGAAAGAAAGCGTTTATGTTAAGGAGCGTTCACTGTAGTTGTGACAATTGTTCAAGCTTAAAACTTGTATCCAAACAAGTCAAAAAACTGCCTGCTGTTTAAAGTTTGAAAAAAAAGGGGTATCTCGCAGTCGTGCAGCTTGCAAATGCAACTTTCCGCCGTGTTTATTTCTAGTTGAAGCAACTAAAACACATGTTGTTGCTGTTGTTGCTTGTTGTTTTTGCATGGCATAGAATTGTTTGGTTCTTGCTGCTGCTGCTGCTGTTGGCTTTTCTTTGCTGTCTCGTCGCGTCGCATCGCTGCGAAATATGCGCAATGAGTGAAAATGCAATGCGAACCGACAACAGAGAAAGCAGCACGCTTACAGACTTTGTCAGACGTTGACAGACAAATAGGGTGGGCTGCTGGGCTGAGGGTTGACAAAAAGACAGAGCTCCTTCCTGGAGGCTAGAGTGTGAAACGTGAAGGACTTTTGTTAAGTCGAGCAGCGCCGGGAAAAGTATGCAATGAAAAAGTGAGCAGCACGAAATGCGCATAGTTCTGCAAAAGGCGTATATATAAAAAAAGGGAATTTTCTCAACCCCGCTCCCAGCTGCCGCTGCCGCTGCTGCTGCGTAAATACCCTTTTGGATGCCAGCAAGAGCCTGCGGAATACAACAGAATGGGCTTCATTTGACAGCTTGTTGGGCATTGTGCTCCATCCCGGCCATCCAGAGCTGCATTACAGCCATAACAGTGTCTAGCTGCAGCGCTCGACAGCCAGCCTTGAGTATCAAAATGGTCCCACTAAATGCGCATACCAGCTACAGGCCAAAAACACAGACACAGATAATGAAAATGGCTGCGTTGACTCAAAAAAAAAAATCGAAGAAAAAGATGATAACTGGCTGCCATTTATCCGAGCACTTGAAGCGTGCTAAAGCGTTGTGTGTCGCATGTCATGCGGGACAGCAGCTCATCTAACGGCAAACATCCATGTTAATAACACTAGCTAACAAGGTTTGTGTACAAAATAACAGCGTAGTTGGGAAGATTAAAAGTGTACAACAATTTTAGCTTCTTAGCCGATTACTGATATTTTTCAATGTTGTAGTTGATAGTTAGTATCAATCATTTAATCATTAGAGTTTTATAACAATTGTCCGAATGAAATGCATTTCCATTTTTTGCCAATAAACATAAGTTTCAAGAATTCCTTCTTTAAAACTTATTTTCCTCCAGTTATTTAAGATAATATTATTTGATTTAGAATAACCTGAAAGCTACCAGCATTGAAGATGTACGAATTCCTTGAGATTTTACGAATCAAACAACTCTCAGTTTCTAGCTATAAACTAGAAATTTGTTCACGAGTGTAAAGGTAGCCCGCAAAAGCGACGCCCTGCTGCCTATTTGAGCAAATGGCTGCTAAGTGCTCAACTAGTTGATATACTCACAAATTAAAGTGTACGTCCGCCATGTTGGGCCTGTACCGGATGGCCTCCTGCAGCACCTGTTTGGCCTCCTCGTAGCGGGCCTGAGAGCTCAGCACGCTGCCCAAATTGCCCAGCGCTGTGTGGAAACAGAAGTTGCAGCCAAACTGTGCAAAATGTAAAACGACTTGCGACTCACCTTTTGGCGGATTGACGTTAATGGCGCTGCGAAAGAGACTCTCCTCGTCCCGCCAGTCCGCATTGCGACGCACAGTTCGCACACACAAGGCGACGAGCAGCACGCTGAAGCCGATCAGGAGCAGGAGACGGCGTGTCCTGGATGCGCGGACGCCAACAGCACCACAAGCCAACAGCTTGGAGACGCCATAGCCAACGAGCAGGCAGAAGCCGACGCTGGGCAGGTACAGCAGACGCTCGGCCACCACAAAGCCCACATAGAAGAAGAGATTGCTGGCGGGCAGAAAGGGCAGCGTGAGAAATGCGCAGGACATGAGCAGAATGCAAGCGTTGCGCGCGGCGACAGACATGCCGCCCAGCATATAGTCCGTGGAGGAGCTGGAACCGGAGCTGCAACCGGAGCTGGAACTGGAGCTGGAGCAGCTGCTGGTGCTGCAATTGGAGCTGGTGCTGGTGCTGCTGCTGTTGCTGCCGCTGCTCTTGTTGCTGGCCGTTGTGCTGTTGCTGCAGCTGCTGCTGCTGCGCGAGCCGCGGAAAGCCTTGTGCAGCGCCAGGCTGACGGCGGAAGACACGAGTTGATGCGGCGTATGTGTTGCATGCGTTGCATGTGACTGCGAATGTGTGTGTGCGTGCGTGTGCGGATGCGGATGCTGATCGCCATAAACATAGGCGCCATTGCTGTTGTTGTTGTTGCAGTCGCTGCAAGGCTGCTTGGCATAAGGCAGCGCCGTCTGCTGATAGGCTGCCTCAAAGGCTTGGTACTTGTTGCTGTTGTTATTGTTGTTGTTGTTGTTGGCGAGTCGCTTGCGCTTGGCGCGTGACTTGCGTCCCACCTTTTGTATATGATACTGCGGATAGCCGACGCCATTAACACCTGCCACATCCGAATAGTCGCTGCTGTGCAAAAGCACCTTGCAGCCCCGCCAGGCTACGCCCAGCAGCACAGTGTAAAAGCAGGCGGACTGCGCGTTGCGTCGATCCCAGATCGTTGTTACGCGCGGCAGCGCATCCATGCCCCAATCGAAGCTGAGCACCTGCGGCTGCAGCAACAGCTTCAGATTGACAACGGGCAGGTGCAGAAAAGTCAGCAGTCGTGTCCAGGTCGAGGCAGTCCGTGCAATGGGATTATCCGCGCTGGAGAAGGCGCTCTGTGGTCCAGGGACCACGACCAGGCGATAGTACACACTGCAGCCGAGCGCGCCAAGCACAAAGCACAGCGAGCGCAGGCGTTGCTAAGAAAGAAAGAGATGGGCAAAGATATAAATATACAGATAAGGGTAAAGAGAGATATAGATAGAAATAGAGATAGAGATAAAGATACAGCTAAAATTAGAGATAGATATGAATATGGATATAGAATATGGAATATGAAATATGGAGTATGGAATATGGAATACGGAATATGGAATATGAAATATGGAATATGAAATATGGAATATATGGATATGGATATGGATATGAGATAAATACTGTTTAATATCTATAGATAAGCATGGATCAGTCTCACCTTATCCACCTGTCCGCTAAGGCCGCGCATCACATCGAAAGCCGCGCACACGAGCAGCGCGGTTATCGCTGTTTCTTTGCAGAGAAGCGCCGCCAGCGCGAAGAGGAGCGTGGTGGCCAGTGCGAGCCATTGTCGCGGATCGGCTGATTCGCGCCAGCGCATGTGCCGCAAATAGCTGAGGTACGTGAGCAGATAGCAAACGCAGGCGGCCACATCTGCGCGTCCCACGACGCCCGCCACCGCCTCCGTGTGTATGGGATGGGCGGCAAAGAGGGCGCCCGCGGCCAGCACCGCCCAGAATGAGGCAAGCAGGGTGCGTGCCACACGCACCACCAGCGCCGTCGCCACGCAGTGCAACAAATTGTTGCCCAGATGAAAGCCCCACGGCGCAAAGCCACCGGCCAACAGATAGTTCAGGCGGAAGCTAAGCACGCACAGCGGTCGCCAGGAGCCGTGCGAACCGCTGTCCGTCAACGGCGTGCCCCAAAAGTCATTGCCAAAGCTGCGCTGCCAGCTCGATCCACCAGAGACGTCCGCATTGGCTAAAATGGCGCGTCTGTAAGGAAAAATAGAAAAATCAACAGATTTAATGAAACGTATCTAAAAAGTTCAACAGCTCTACAGAAAATTAGCTTTAAAAATTGTTTAACAATTTGTGACATCAAAATTTAGAATGCAGATTTTAACTGGAGGTCGAAACAGGTTTTAAATTTCATCAACCTTAAAAATTGGTGCAGTTTTGAGAAAGTTCTGCTAGTTCGATTTCAATGGATGGCATTTGTAAGGATTTGGGAACTTAATATGCGAAATCTTTTAAAAATTCGAAACAGTTTTCGTTTTTGAAATTCGCAAACAGAAAGAAGTTTCTGGAGAATGGCCAAATTTACAAGACAAATTTGTTTGTCGAATATTTTTGGGCGTGATTTTCTTGATATGCTGTCGTATTTGTAACGATAGTTTTCTGCCTGGAAATTTGTCGAGAAATTGTTGTTTATTGAATAGAATGGCCTGAAACAACGCAGCCCGTTGCATGTTTTTGCACTTTTGTTCTGAGCCACACTGACAACCTGATACGATCCGCCACAATATACGAGAGCGGGATTGTATGGGGGGAGAGGGAGCTTGACTGTGAGTCGCTGTTGTCACTGTGTCATCGGGCTTTCCAAAACGACAACATCATTGAAGCCAGTTGCTGTGTGCGGGGCGGTTGCTTTTGTGGAAGCGCACCTGGACACTTTTGCACGCACAGCAGGCGGACTATGTGGGATTTTGGTGAGGTATTCGTGACAGAGCAAGCAGCGCAAACCCGTAAAACAGCTCGTACGCTGCCTCTATTGGGGAATGATGTTGCCGTTGCTGTGGTTCGCATAAACAAATGCCGCTCTAATGCCGCACAAAGTCGCCTCGAGTCGCCTTCTTGTCAGCCAGTCAGCCGCAGCGTGTGCTATGTAGCAGAGTGTACCATATATATAAGTGTGCATATATATTTGTGTGCAGGTGTGTGTGCCTTGAAATTCGATTTTAAGTACCAGTGAAATTCCATTGCAGTAACCAGGCATGCCACATGCCACATAGAAACTCGCCCCAATTTCAGCAATTTTATTTTATTTTTGTCTATTTTTTTTTGTTGAGACATTTAAGATTTTTACAGTGTGTGTTTGTGTGTGTGCGTATTTGCTCTTCACTTAAATACATAAATTTGCCCGAAAGCTTAAAGATTGGTGAAGAGTTGGTCTTGATTTAGCTGCTTACCTGTCGTCATAGACAAAGCCCGCATTAAGTGTGTTCAAATATAATACGAAAGCCAGACCGCAGCACAGCAGCGTGGTGTAGTCCATGCTGCAAAAGAGGAGGAAGAAGAAAATAGAGTGTTAATTTGAGTAAATATTTAGTAAGCAAAGAAACTTCAGCAAGGAAACTTTAAAAATAGCATGACATTTATTTGAGAATTACAAATTCTCTAGTTAAGAATATAGTTTGGGAGTTTAATGTTAAGAGTTTTACAGATAATTAAATGAATCAATAGATTTTTTATTATTATAAGCCTTAAAAAACAAATGCTGATGGAATTCTGCGATTAAAATCTATGCTATCCGTTCTAAAAACAAATTCCGACAGAATTATCGGAATATAATCCATGATATCCGTTCTCAAAACAAATTTCAATAGAATTTTCTAATTATAATCCCCGCTATCAATACTAAAGGCAAATTCCGATCGAATTATGGGAATATAAACCGCCCTAAAAACTAATTCCGATGGAATTTCTAGATTATATTCTATCCATTTGGTGTAAATAAGAATCTGAATGCGATTAATCTATAGACCTATAAATTCTAAACAGTGCTGGTAAACATCGCGAAATTAGTTATACAACAACATAATACAACAAATATGAAGCTCAGTAATCTCTCATAAACTTTTTGAGTACTTGCATGTAACAAACTTTGCTTTTGACTTCCTCTTAAAAACGTTATCTAAATATTTTAATTTTAGAATAAAGTTTTTTATGCACAAGCATCGATTGGTAGGGTTTGCGAATACGTTCTTGCTATGATTGCTCGAGGGCTCATATGGCATGCTGCCTAGCATTGTGGCTTAAATAATTATAAACATTTCAATAAGTCGTATTCGTTTAGTTTTTTTTTTACCCATTTATCCATTTTGCTCTCTGTTTTTTCTGGCTTTTCATGATTGTTGTTGTTGTTGCCGTCGTTTTGCCAACGGCTGCAGCAGACGAGACAAAAAATGAAACAAGAGTTTGTGGCAGTAGCTTTTCCTTTTATGTGAAAATGTGCAGGTACGTTGCATTCATGGCGCTTCCTCTTGGCATTTGGAACTCAGCTGACGGCAGTTGGCCGGTCCGTTGATGATGTTGCAGCAGCCATTACACATAATGAGCGCCAGCCGGGGCAACAGGATGATGCTGCTGTTGCTGTCTCTATGCACATTTGTTGCTGCGGTTGCCAACGTCAACATGTGGATGCAACCCCCCTTGAGCACAGCAGCCACACGGCCCCGCGCGCCATTCGTTCGTCGCAACAGTTGCAGTTGTTGCTGTAACAGCCAGACAATAAAGGCTATCAACAACGTTATGCTTGTGCATGTCTCTGGACCCGGCCACACGTTGCAAATGTTTGCTGCTCTTAATGCACCAAATAATGAACACATGCCGCCGCCGCCGCCCCCAGTCGCATGTGGCGCTCACCGGCACATTAAGCCGTTCCCCTTGAATGGCAAGTCACCCGCAAGTTGGCTAACAGTCCACACTCCAATTTCCCATCGTCCCTTTACGCTGTTTGTTGCGTTTTTTTCTTTGTCCTGCGCCTTTGTGCGGATGCTGGCTGATTTCTTCTTCCTTTTGTATACCCTGTATCCATTACAAATTGATTTTAGCAGGGCGTATGGCTAAGGTATATGCAAAGGTAACTCTGATAACATAACGAATTCATCAGATGTAAGCAGCATCAATAACTATTGATCATCATATGCGAATAAAGATTGAAGGACTTTTTAGATATAGTCTAGGGTTGAAAAGGCTCTAACGTAGTTAGTTATGTGCTTTAGGATCAGTAATTTATTACACCATCAATAATGTAAGCTATCGTATACAATTCCAATAAGGTTCATTATAATTTTTCAACATAAAATCGATAAATATCGATAACCAAAGCTGTTCCTTGGGTTAAAGCGATTAAAATTGGATACTTATCATAAAGAATTTATTACAAACAGGATCTAAATAAAAGTATTTTCGGTTGAACATGCCATTCTAAGTCTTTAAGCCTGATTGCAGGGTATCACTTAGTCTCCCATTCTACCCGGCCGTATTTTCAGTTTGTTTTGTTTGAGCATTTGCGGTTAATTATTTTTTTGGTCCTGCCTAAGCCCGCGAGCTAACAATCCCAAGCCGAGTGAATTGCGCCCTAAAAATCAATGGGATGAAATGAGTCCATTTTGTTGACCGTCGCACAACTATATTATCTATTTGTGTGTATGTGGCATACTTTTGCTGGCCAGAGACATGCACATAATAAGCAGTTGGATTAGGTTCTCCCTCGTTGTCCCAGTGCCTCATTGCCTGCCTCCCTGGTTGGCTGGCTGGCTGGCTGATGGGGTGGCTTAGTTAGTGCGCCGGCAAAGGCCTGTTGGCAAGAGATTTCGCATTATGCACGAGGGACCCAAGCGGCTTATGTGCAAATTAGCAGCATTCAATATAACCAACACTCGTCCAGATGCCACACCAGAACCTGCCGGGATGCTGCAGAGGCAGGCGAAAAAATGCGAGTAACACACAAAAATTGCTTTGCTAATGAGCCATAATGATGAGCTTTGCTTTTGCTCGGCCGTTGACTGTGTCAGCAAAGTCGAAGAAGAAGCAGCACTAGTAGTTGTAGTGGTAAATGAAGAGGAAGAGCACAGTTTCCTTCTCACACTACCAATCCGAGTGGACAACAACTTGTCTGCAATGGGTGGGGCCAGCTTTGTGTGCGCCTGATTGATTCGCTTCCAAGCCATTGGCTGAGACTGCTTAACATACTCATCATCAGCATTATCAATCTCATTATGATCTCTATCATCATTATCGTTATTATTAACACATTGAAAAAGCCGCTAGCCTAGCAATTATCTACATATAATTGGCCAGCATCTCATCAAATGAACTTGTGTTCTTCGCACGAACTGAACTGAACTTTGAATGTTGTTTGTTTGGCTCGCCAACTCTTCTGGTTAACCACATGTACAGGGGCGTAGGTAGAAACTATTTACTAGGGGTTATTAATATTAGAAACTACACGTAAGCATTTTCCAAAGTTTTGGCTTACTTTATCCGCAATTTAGGTCCTTATAAAGATTGTCTGAGATGTTTGGGCCCTTCAGCCTTAAGGGTCAGACTCTTGGCTCTTAAAGTCAATCTCTTGCTGCGTAGATATAAGCAAATATATACTCGCAGTCCACTTCTGTTTATTAATCAGCAATATTTTATTCAAAATATAGTCAGTTTTAGCTGAATTTACATATAATTTATTTGAGACATTGAAAATGGAAGATAAATTGGTTGTGTTTTCTATAATTTAAGATAATTATCTTTAGTTACAGGGACAACTTAAAATGTTATTTAATTTTGTTATCCACTTTCACAACCTTTTATTAAGGAGCTACTTAGGAACTTGCGCGAAAAACATGGAGGACTTCAATGTTCCACCAGGTAATAAAAGGCATTCAAAAATATAAATGAAGCTTCAGCAATGGCAAACTCTGCTATTGATGGGAAACTTTCAGAAACCTTCTCGTTTCTTTCCATTTCAGGTACAGGGTATTTTCTAGCTGTGCACTTTCACATTTTAACTTCAATTTGCTTTTATTGTCTTTTTATACAGTTTTTTTTAATTTTCGTGGAGAGGTTGGTTTAAGCTACAAAATCCGCAACCCCTGCGTTCGCCGCTGCTCGCTCATCATGTGTAACAACTTAATTCTTGGCACACACACACACATACACACACCCATACACCCAGCGAGACATGTTGAGCCCATCGCTGTGCCTATCGAGCTCAGTAGGCAGCTGGCATTTTTTGTTGTTGTTTTTTTTTTGGGCATCTGGCTGCGTAGCTTGGGCCATTTTATCGCTCTGGCCATAAATCATGTTTTATTTTTGCAATTAGCGCTGCCACACAATAAATTACTGGCTTTTCATTGTCTCGAGCTCGAGGATACGTGAACTTCAGTACTTGGCCACAAATTGTTGGCCAAGACGCCGGGGCTCACAGTTTTGTTGTTGTTGTAATTGTTTGCCCATTTGAATGTTGAATGTTTATTGTTGATGAAATAAGCGCGAATTGTCTGAGTGGGTCACACTTTAAACAGTGTTTACACAATTCGCTGTGCAGCTTATCTAATGGTTGCCAGTTGGCATTTGCCTTACCCTGTAACCATTGAAAGTAAGTAAATAAAGCTATATTGTTTTTGGGCAAATGTATGTTACAGACAGATAGAGGCCTCTTCGACTCCAGAAAGTCAGCTTAGGAGTTGAGCTGGACTCTCTTTATAAAGTCGTCCAGCTCACTGCCAGAAGCACATACTTATTTTAGATTTGACATAAAGGTTCTTATATACCAGATATACACAGATCAGTTTTCGAACTTTCATTTGATTAATTACACCGAAATCGATTTATATCGATAACCAGCTTCTTTATTATAAGCATATTTCGGATATTATTAAAGCTGTTAAGCTAAAGAAATATAAAATGTCATAAGCAGCCCAAGATTGTTGAAACTAATTGATAAATATTGATTTCTTTTACCATTTTTCCCAAAATCGATAATTATAGTTTATCTGATGTATGTGCCTAAATCGATAAATTTCGACTTGTAAGCCTCGCTTTCTACAAGCTCTCTCTCTCTGAGACCTCCAATTGGACATGTAGATTAAATGGAATGTATTTTTTTGTTCTTGAAAACCTCAGCAACTACAGGGTATCTCTCAGTCGGACACATTTGACTGGTTGCACACTCACTTGTTTTTATTGCTGCTGTCCTGCTTCTGGGCCTGTGACCTAGTAACTGATGTTGCCCCTAATGGTTTTTCTGTGCGCCCCCTCCCTCCACACCCCGCCTGCTCTGTTGTGCCTTTGACATTTTCGCGATGTTTCCGTTTCCGGTGGCAAGGTGTGTGTTTGCCAGTTCATGTTGTTGCCTCTCATGTCACAAAAACTTGAGCCGAAGGTCGAAGTCGTCGTCTCGATTTGCAATGGATTCGCTTTTCAGTTTTCCCCCTCTGTTCCATTTTCTTGCTCTCTCTCTCCCTCTCTCTCTCTCTTTCTTTCTCTCTCTCTTTCT